AGGGTAATTTGAGCTAACAGAAGTATGATGGACCCGATTTAAGTGTGCCACGTGAATGCAATCAGTATATCTTTCTTGAATAGCTTTTGCCCTCCACGTGATCTCCAGTTGTGTTGGGGTACAAGAATTCAACTAGAATTGTAGTTCTAAGAGACCTAAAGCAGAGCTTCTCCATCTTTGCAACTTGAAGAGACGTGTAGACTTCAACTCCCAGAGTTCTAGGAGTTGAAGTCCACAGATCTTCAAGCTGCCAAGGTTGAGAAGCTCTGCTCTAGAGCAGGGCTTTTCAACCTTTTCACCCATTTTGCCACTTTTAGGATATGGCAACATCCGAGTACCACCAGTCGCCTAGCAAGGGGTCAAAAACTTGATGACCAAAAAAAAAGGGAAAAAAGTGATAAAGTACACTAAGCTTACAAAAGTTCGCTTAGTGACTGTTCAAAGTTACAATGGTACTGAAAAAAGTGTCCCCCCCAAGCCACAGCCGAGCAAGATACCTGCCTGCCTGCCCACCCGCCACGCTCTTCCTCCTCTCCAAGGTTTTCATTGTTGTGAGCATTTCTGTTGAGGATTGGCAGCGGGGGTAGGGTGGGGGGGGTTGGTTTTTATTCCCCCGGTCTGCTGGGTGGTTGCAGCAGGTTTTGGTCACTTCACATGACCCTGGGACACTGTGACTGTCATAAATATGAATCAGTTGCCAAGCATCTGAATGTAAATCACAAGACCCAGGAGATGCTGCAACATTCCAGGTGATCGGCCCTTCTTCTGGGCTCAGCAGAAGCGCCAGGATCAGCGCCGAGCTCCAGCTGGAGCCTGGCGCTGATCCTGGCACTTCCACTGAGCCCTGACAGCCCCGAAGAAGCGCTGATCCTGGCGCTTCCTGGAGCCCTGACAGCCCTGCAGCTCCAGCCGTCTCTCACTCAGGCTTGTGCGGTGCTGCCACCGGTTCAGCTCATTCCCCTCCCCCACTACCACTTTTCTAGGATGGTCGCATACCACCTGCCAGGTGCCAATGTATCACAGGTGGTACCCATACCACTGGTTGAAAAGCCCTGCTCTAGAGAATGGAGGTATTAGTAAAGCAGCAGTAACTCAGTGAAGGAATATATGGACAAGGTTGGAGAAGGTAAATACTTACATTAAATGCTTTTCAAGGGAGGGGAGATGTTTCTTGGAGAAAATGTAATCAGCTCCAAAATAATGATAGAAGAATATACCAGAAATAGGGCCATTTTTTAAAGCTCTGGATCTAGCAAAACTGCAGCAGATGTATTTATGGCAGCGTTATTGTTTGTTATCTCAGTAATTGAGTCATCTGGGTATGCTAGCTCTTGTTAGTTTTCGGTTTCAGGCTGCCTAGCTAATTTTGCATAATATTTTAAGTTCAAAGCTTTTAGCGAAAGGAACAAATTTATTACTCCGGCTAGCAGGATTCATTCCCCAAAGCTAGGAAAAAAAAAACAAAAACTAACCAGTAGGACAAAAAGTAGGGTCATTCTGAGAGTGAGATAGGCACTATCTAAATTTGATAAATGCTTAAAGAAACAAACAAAATAAATCATTTTCAGCTAAAGCTTGAGGGGTTACCAGCTGTCAGGCCCCAAGGACCAGGAAGGACATGAAGAGTTAACAAGAGCAGAGGTGGCACAGCAGTTAGAGTGTAGTACTGCAGGCCACTTTAGCTGACTGTGTTCAGCAGGTCAGCGGTTCAAATCTCACCGGCTCAAGGTTGACTCAGCCTTCCATCCTTCCGGGGTAGGTAAAATGAAGACCCAGATTGTTGGGGGCAATGTAAATATATACATACATTGCTTACTGGTGTACACCGCTTAGAGAGTGCTTGCACTTAAAGCAGTATATAAGTCTCATAAATAAATAAATAAATAAATAAACTCCTGAGCCATTTCCTTTATTGTCCCTCATCTCTACAGAAAACCTTGCCAAGCTAAATCTATATCACTATAGATATACTCTGGGAATCGTTAGGGAGGCGCCTTCTTAACTGTCTTTCCCCTGACCAAACTAACTACACTTTGCTGTCTCTTGGTCCTCTGGAATGCAGCCCCTCCCTCTTGGGAATCCAGACTACATTCCACCACATCAGGGAGCCTTTGGAAGTACCACCACCACAACTATTTCCCCCACATAGTAGGACTAAGCTTTTTTTTTAATGATACAATCATTGAGTCAGCTATGGAAACAAGAGATCGTAATCAGTGTAGCTAGAAGTCCATTTTTGTGGCTGCAGATATTGTATTGATAAGGAGGGGGTCAAGTCCATCTAGATGCCATATGAAAGTCATTCAGACATTCATTTGAGCCAGGGCTTTAATCCTAGAACATACTTTTATTATCCAGACATGTCTAGAAACACAGACAAGCAATTTTGAACAGGTACAGAATGCTCTTTCACACTAGCAGTAGTTCTCTGCGGTTTTTGTGAGTGTTTCCTAGCCCTAGCAAGTGATACTATCTGGTGCCTTTGGTTGGAAAAGACATGGTCATAATTTGGCTGGTTTTAGTCATACTTGATTTTGTCTGAAGTGAGTGTGCTACATGAATGGATTCTGGTGTCAAATGATTGATCCCTCCTGCTGATGTTGCTGGCAATTGGCTGGGTTCATGCAAAGCTGGATTACCTGGCTACCTTTTTCTCCGCTCTTGAGGTAGGCCAGGTCAGAAAACAACTCCACAAGGTTTGCTAGAACTTTCTAATAAGAATATCTTAAGGCTGAGATTGTTTTTCCTCCCATCCTCTTAATATCAAGAGAATTAAGGTGGAGCCAGTTTAAATTTCTAATTTTCTCTTCCTGTCCCAGGCTTAACTCAGGTTACTGTGGCCATACTCTTTGTGTAAGTTCATCTGTGTCTTGGCACTATATGGTGCTTCTTTAAGGTTTTAGAAAGGGTCTTTCCTTGCTTTTTCAGAGACTGAAGGAGGAGTATCTTCAGATGAAGGTTTTGCTAAATCCTAATACTTCCTCAACCAATGTGATGGAATGTAGTCTGGATTCCCAGGAAAGAAGGAGTGCATTCCAGAGGAGCAAGAGACAACTCAGCTCAGATAGTTTCTGTGAGAGAAAGAGGATGAAGACAGCTCCTCCCTAATAGTTTATGAGGCTGGTAATTTGCTTTAGTTTGGCAAGATTCTGTCTGTAAGTGAGGAACTGATTCTGTAGCACGGATTATGACTTCCAGGAAGGTGTTCTGCCACCCACTGAGCTGTTAAAATGTAGGTACCCCTGAATTCATTCTGAATTTTTTTGCATTTCAAATCACTTCTTCCTGAAGCAGTGCGGAATGTTTGCTATGTCTACTCCGGCATTCTAGAAAAGCCCTTTTGAACATTAAATATGGTTTAGCTCTCCAGCAGGGCAAGGATTGGCTTTCACTGTATCTGGTAGTTGGTACTGGTTATCCAACTGTACAAACAGAACACTCTGACATGAACTTTAACAAGCAGAGAGGGCTGGCATTTATAAACCATAATTATTTTTAATGAAACAAAAAAACAACGAAACAAGAAAATTCACCAGCAGAAGCATCCAGGATGCATTTTCAGTAATGGGCATTTTGACCTTTTCTAAAATTCAGGCAATCTCTTGTTCATTTTATCCTCTTGGAACAGAACAGAAAACAACAGACATCTTCCTGCCAGACAGGCTCAAATTCTGGGGAGAATAATTCTATTATAAACTTATAAAATATATCTTCCATTGTATACTATTTTATTGTGGCATACTATCATTGTGATGTGGTGGTACAGGTGTTGAACTAGGAGTGATAGACCAGGGGTAGGCAACCTTGGCTCTTTTATGACTTGTGGACTTCAACTCCCAGAATTCCTGAGCGCATGGCTCAACTTGGAAACCTCTCCCTTCCCATCAGCATGGTTAGCTCAGGAATTCTGGGAGTTGAAGTCCACGAGTCACAAAAGAGCCAAGGTTGCCTACCCCTGGGATAGACCAAGGTGCAGGTCCTCCCTCAGCCTGGAAAGTCCCTGGAAAACTTGGCATTAGTCAAACGTAAATGGGTTGTAGTTGTAAGAATAAAAAGGTGGGACATTTCCCTTGCTTCCCCCTCTCCCAACATAGCTACAAAGCTTCCATGAGGAATAGTCTAGTCTTCTGCGGGATAAAGTCACTTGGATCTCTTCTAGGCTCTGACTGGGCAGGTTCTGTTGAGTTACTCTTTTCCTGTTGCCTGGAAAGAGTCTTACAGAAGTGGACAGGATATTCACGACTGTTAGTCTCTCCACTGTCAAAGTTCTGACTGATGAGCCCAATGAAATAAGCACAGCTGAGGCATTCCAATCTCTAATGCAAAACTTTATTGAGTACAGCATATTGGCACTGATGAATAGAAAAACAGCTCTGGCTAAAATGGCACCAGGACAGTAAATTAAATGGTAGAACTTCCCTTACCCCCTAATAGTGCAGGTCACATTCCCCAATTAAGTGTCAGACATTTGTTATGAGAAAATCTTCAGTTCCCAGCCAACGGCTCTCGATGATCTTGATTTTTACGAGGGACCGCTCACACCTGCGATGAGCATTCCAGTCCTCCCGCCTCCCCCCCTGTTGGCAAGCTAAGAAACAACAATGGCTGAAGCAGAATAAGTTTCTTTGGAGCTTGACATCCACTTGCTTATTAGATCCAGGACCCTCCTGGTTGATGTATGGTGCAACCATGATGGTAAATTCATACCCTACAGTACTCTGAAGGTGGGTGGTGGAACCCCTTCCTCAAGAAAGCATTGCTGGATCTAACAGTTCTGGACAAAGTTCATTCAGTCTCCATTCTTTCCTTTTGGGCGTATGGTTGTCCAAGTATAACTCCAGGGAATTAGTTGGACCCATGTTGATAGGGTTTCAGGTCAGGGCAAAGTATAGAGAGAGTATTGATCACATCATTTTTCAGCCCAAAGCAGTGTGCCTGCCTCTGTTATTAACAGAGGGACCAACGCCTCCTGCTTCATGTCTCCTGGTCTTCTTTTGCAGCTTCACCCAGCTGGTCCGCAGCCCGTGAGGTCCCTCCAGGTGGCCATGCTGAATGGGGAGACAAGCAACTCTGCCGCCAGGAATGTGGTCCGCAGCTCCAGCATCAGTGGAGAAATGTACAATATCGAGAAGAGTAATGGTGGCCATTCCGATTCAGCAAGTCTCTCCTCCACTAAGAAGCGGCGATCCAGCCTGGGGGCCAAGATGGTAGCTATTGTGGGGCTGTCACAGTGGAGCAGGAGTACTATGCAGCTCAATCATCCTGGTAAGAAACTTCACGATCTGATTGAGTCTTCCTTGTGCCGGAAAAATTCTCTGCTCTGCAATTGTCACCCGGTCTCTCTGTAGGTCTTTAGATTGGTTGATCCAAGAACTGGAAGCACATGTAAACTCCAGCCATGGAGATCTTCGTTTGGCTTTGGCTTTGGCTTAGGAACCAAGCTAATCTGGGTACCTCTGAAGGCACTGACACATGGAGTGTCTTTGGTGGGCTTCACGTGTAATGTCAAGCCATCGTGTGGTTCCTTCAAGCTTTGGCTTAGCAAGTTGTGTGAGCAAAACCATTGGCATTTTATTAGGAAAAGCTAGCAAACCGTGGTCTTCTCAGTAAACTAACGTCAACCCAATTAGGACAAGATGCAGTGTAGACTCATCTTGCGCAAGCATTTTCCATAGTCCTGCTTTCTACCCTTTCTGAAAGCCAATGGAATATGCCCAAAATACACCTGAATTTTTATTTATTTATTTATATGTCAAACTTTTCAACTTTTTAATTTAAGGTGACTCCTGCATTTCGCTCTGCTAGATAAAATAAGACAGAAAAAAAAGAAGATGAGCAATATAGAATGTTTGATTCACATCAAAAGGTTTTAGGAAATCTCAGAAAGTCTCAATAAATGTAACGGGTTTTGAACACATCGTAACTGTTAATTGATAAGGCACTTATAATCTGTCTCACATGCATCCTGCATCTGTATAAGCAACCTTTCTTCTCATCGTTTCCTCCCTTCCTTCCCCCACCCAGTTTAAATCCTACATCAATTTAGCCTCTTTAAGCATCTGATCAAATGAGCTGCAGCTCAAGAAAGCTTTAAGCCATTTAATAAAATTAGTTGGCTGGAAAAGGAGCTACCAGACTCCCGTTGCTTTCTTTTTGTCCCCATAAACCAGGGGTCTGCAACCTTGATAACTTTAAGACTTGTGGAATTCTGGGAGCTGAAGTCCACAAGTCTTAATGTTGTCAAGGTTGCAGAACCCTGCCTTACAGCACTCTCTGAGTGGTTTACAATGTCAGCATATTGCCCCCAACAATCTGGGTCCTCAGTTTACTAACCTTGAGCCCCATCATGATCAAACTCCAGACTCTGGGCAGAGTTAGCCTGCAACACTACATTCCAACCTCTGTTCCACCAGGGCTCTTGGCAATTAATCTTCCAGCTCTACCCCAATCTTCTCGCAACTCCATTTGGGAAGTTCAGCACCTTGGACAGGGCAACATACAAGTCTTAAGGTTGTCAAGGTGCAGGTCCCTGCCATAGACCAACTAAGTTCTGCCCCTACAAGGCAAACCTAATCATATCCCTTTAAAGGTAAAAATTTAGGGGAGCAGAGCTGTTTTTCTTTGAAGTAACTCCTGTATTAGCAATGGGTTCTGCAAGTGGAATGCCAATGAGATTCAGCAGATACTCAGTTATGAAACTCATTAGGTTTTTTTTCTGTTATTGCTTATGCCCAGTGATTGTGTTGTTTGGTTTATGACAGTACAATTATTTTTGGTAATTGAGTCTTGATTACGCTTGAGAGCAGACATTTAAATCTAGCTCCCAATACTGGCCACAAAAACAGTGCCCCTTTTGAAAATGGAGCACAGAATCAACTATAAAAGCCACCAGCAGCACATTGGAGGAGAAAAAAGGACGCCTTGAATGAAAAGAGAAATATCCTTACATTTCCCAGGAAGACCAGTCCAGAAGCTTTGGCCTAGATGACGTAGGAAATGAACAGGTTGAGCTGGAAGACAGGATCAAATGCATCATTAGATTGGAGTCACTATGCTCCCACAAAAGACTGAAGTCCAGCCCCCTCCCCCGCCCCAAATTCCATTGACCCTTATCTATCACCAATTTGGTTTGACTGTTAGTAGATTAGATTCTTCCGTATAGGTTGCACGTAATAAACTTTTAGGGCTTTGAACTCAACGCCTTTTCCTGGTTACTTGCGCCTGACAGATATTTTGGAAAACACAAAATAGCTTATTGGAATGCCTGGATTCAGATGACATATTTAGCCTGGTTACCGATTTAACTCATTTTCTGGATTTGTGCAAAGACCATCATGAGCTAACCCAAAGGTCTCAAGGCTCACAATAGTCTAACTTACAAAATATTAGCCAAGTTTATAAGGAACCAGTATTCATTTTCTAATTGGTAGTATCAATGAAGACTCTCAGTCATCCAGGCAAAGGTATCTGAAGGTTGAATCATGACAACTGGACACATTTTGGTTAGCTTGAGACTTTTTGCTGCTCATTCAAGCAGTTTCATCAGTCAAAGCCAGCTAGGCAGAGAGTCATTGGAATGTACCAACTCTTCAGGGGTTTCATCTCCAAAATGCCTTGCAGAGGAAACTCCTGAGATTGCTGTAGCAAGAGTTGGTACATTCTGATGACTCTCTGCCTAACTGACTTGCTTTGACTGCTGCTTGGATGAACAGCGAAATGTCTTACGCTAACAAAAAAATTTTCCCAGTTGCTACAATTCAACCTTCAGACACCTTTGCCTGTCAGGATTCAACCTTCAGACAATTGCTAGTACCCATTATTTTCATTGGAGGGATGCAAAACTCATCGCTCCAAATGTAATAATAATTTTTAAAAAATCACACAGGTCATTGGAAGGAAGGAGGCAGGCAACATGTACAAAGCAGTTGATCTTTTTGGTTTGGAAATGAGATGAGACATACGGTAATGCAACTACGAACGATATTAGAATTTCCGCGTGATTGTGTGTATGTTTTCCTTCCCCCCTCCCTCTCCCAGGGTGTATTTCCTTTTCACACTAACAGAACACTCTTTGCATGTGGGGTCAGAAAGAAGACTCCTCCAAATCTTAGGAGCAATGGCTAGGATTCAGAGTCCAAAGGGCCCAATCTGTCATGTTTTGCCATGAGCCCTGGTGGCGCAGTGGTTAGAATGCAGTACTACAGGCTATTTGTGCTGACTGCCGGCTGTCTGCAGTTTGGCAGTTCGATGCTCAGCGGCTCGAGGTTAACTCAGCCTTCCATCCTTCCAAGATGCAGATTGTGGTGGGCAACAGGCTGACCTTGTGAATCACTTAGAGAGGGCAGTAAAGTCTAAGTGCTATTGCTATTACTACACTTTATCTGTCCTTTTCTTAACTGTGTTTGCATTTTGCCCCTTTTTCCCCACGTGCAATGCTTCTCCTTAAAAAAAATTAAAATCCATGCTGCTGTTTTCTATCCAGCAGACACTGAAAGTGTTTCTGTTCTTGCTGAGAGGTGAGCATCAGGATCAACTGACACTAGTTTGGCACCTTGCTCAGCAAAGCTATTGCTTTCTCCCAGGACATTTGGCAGAATCAGAAGGTTAATTGACAGCTCGTGTTCCCACCACCACCTGCACATCTCTTGCCAGAAGAGTGATCAAATTATGATCATCCAAGGAAGCTAATCCTGTCCCTCTTGTAACCACCAAAATTTGATAGTTAACCTCCGAGAGCAATATTTCTATTGCGGCTTTTGTGATTTTTAACTGATTCTTAACCTGCCCAGAGTTTTTTCAGCTGGGCAGGCACAAACAAAACATAAATAAAATGAATCTCAGAGCAAGTATACGGGATGTGTAAGTACGTGACTATCCTGAACAATTTACTAGGAGAAACGGAAGGCCTATTGTGCACCCCAAAAAAAGTACATGATACGTTTTGAATGTAGAATTCTGCCATGTTGGTTTTGAGTTTTGGACGAGCTTCTATCACATTCTTGGGGAGTTTGGGCAATTTGAAATGTGGGATGATCTCTTTGTTTTGATTGGGATGGTGGTTAAGCATCAGAGACATCTCATATAAAAAGGTGCTGTCAACGCTGCTAATATTGAATCTTCTTGCTTTGACAAAATATGCAGAACTGTCTGGTATTTTTAGAGTTAATTCAGATGACAGAGAAAAGGGAGGGGAAATAACAAAAGCCCGGGAAAAGGAAGGGAAGTGAATCTCTGCCCTCTGGGCTAATTGGAAGATGTGACTTGTGACTGCAAGATAAGGGAGGGGTTTAGCAAGAAAAGTTAGATGCCAGCAAGAGGAATTCAGATTCTGGCATAAACCTCTATGATGTGCCATCAATTTGTAACACTGTTAATAAAGGCTTTAGGCCAGTGGTTCTCAACCTGTGGGTCGGGACCCCATTTGGGGTCGAACAACCATTTCATGGGGGTCGCCAAACGCAGTCAATCATTTTTTTCCCCTTTTCCTTAGCTGTGCTACTCCCTTTTATTCTATTGGCTTTTGAAAGCCAATAGAGTAGACTCTCTTGAATAGAGTCTAATTCTATTGGCTTTCAAAAGCTAATAGGAATTGTCCAGGCTGTCTCTGCCCTGCTGAGCCCGCCAAAAGTCCCATTCTGCAAACAGTGCTGCACCAGTTGAGTAGTCCTTGACTTACAATCGGTTGGGGGTTGCAGCATTAAAAAGGTTGAGAACCACTGCTTTAGGATAAACATGCCTGGAAGTTCTTTGAAGTGTTTCATTAGTCAGAACCATGACAGGTGCCTTGTTGGAAGGAATGGGATGAAAAGCTAAAGTATTTTTATAAAAGGTGACATCCTGGTTTCTGTTTGACTCCTCTTTCCACCAGCCACTGTTCCAAGGGAAGGTCTTGATACCCAACTTTGCATTGGCTTTGAGGGTGAATAAGAACGACAGGGTGGCAAACAGAAGTTGTAGTTATGCGTTCTTGTGTGGGGAATACAGATGAACCTTGACTTACGACAGGTTGCGTAGTGACTATTTGAAGTTGTCACCTACCTAAAAAAGGGAACAGACAACCTGGCTCCAAATTTCTGAAGGTTGGGCCTCTCGCTGGGGTCATGTGACCGCACATTGGGCGCTTGTCAACACGGCTGCGTTTACAGCCATGTGCAGCATCCTGCGTCCATGTGATTTTATGATGGTTTTTCCGACATTCGGCACTTTTGGTTTTCAGCAAAAGAGTGCTCATGGCAAAGAGGGGGTTTTCACTTCTGACTATGGTG